TCGAAAGTAGTGCACTACATAGGGAATAGGGTGCCATTTGGGACGTAATGACAGTAGAATACAAGGCGTTAGTGTGAAACAAGCGTCCGTCCACCCTCAATCAGGAGCTACGTGGCTGTCTGGTCCGGTCCAGAGATGGTTCTAGAACCTGCACTTCATTCTAGAATTGTTCCGTCATGTGACCTAGCATTTCCTGTAGTTTAGTGTACTTCCGGTCTGTATCACAGCCACAAAATCAGGGCATTGGCCATGTCGTAAAAATGCATGAAATGTTTTTGTAGCTTTTTGGTCTTCATTTAAGGTTAGGGTTAGGCATTAGTTTAGCAGTGTGGTTATGGTTGGGTTGGGTTTAAATTCAGATTTTAAGAAGAAACATTTTAGAAATAGGCGGCGTTTAGCCATAATTATGACTTTGTGGCTGCAGTAACTAGTAACGACCAAAGGTGGCCTTTAGAGACAGTAGCTGCATTTACAGACAGACGGACATCTAATGTGACCAATAGAAACAGAGACAGAACAGGTCAGACCCGCCCCCCCATCAACATAACAGCCATTCACAGAGGTGGACCTTCATTGTGCGCCCTGTTTCATCTCATCCAATCAAATCCGTGAACAGTTACCACCTGAGAGGATCATTAAGACGTCAGCCAATCATCTTCCAGTTGTACAGTAACTTAAATCCGCTGGAGGCTTTTAAACCATTTTGATGCAATTTGCCCCCCCCCCAAAAAAAAACAGTGAATAAGAATCAACACAACGTATCTTTACACTCCACAGACAGTCAGACTGTGTCTGAAACGGCATGCTAGTCCATATTTAGTGCACTACTTTTGACCAGAGCCCTATGGGCCCCATGCACTAGGTAGGGAATAGGGTGCCATTTCAGACAACCACATGGAGGGTGTTAGCCTAGTGTCTGTCTGTCCCATATCCAACTACAACAGGGATCCTCCCTATATACTGCTCCTCCTACACACACACACACCTGTCTATCTCCCCACTAGCTCTGGTCCAGGGCATTACATTTACATTACATTTACATTTTAGTCATTTAGCAGACGCTCTTATCCAGAGCGACTTACAGGAGCAATTAGGGTTAAGTGCCTTGCTCAAGGGCACATCGACAGCTTTTTTTCACCTAGTCGGCTCGGGGATTAGAACCGGCGACCTTTCGGTTACTGGCACAACGCTCTTAACCACTAAGCTATCTGCCGCCCCATGACGTGTGGCTTGCTGAAGCTGAACCTGACGCAATTAACACCCTGGACCAGAGCCATCTCCACATCGACCCCTTGTCTCTCTACTACTCATGGTTCATATTCACTCACTACTTTAAAAAACAGAATTTTAAAATAATAATATATTTCAGGTATTAAATAATCTTATATAAAAACACAAAAGTAAAAGTACCCCCCCCCTCCCCTCATACAGTGGGTATCAGAAGTATTCACCCCCCCCCCTTAGATTTTGACATTTTTGTTGTGTGACAAAGTGTGATTCAAATGGAACTTTTTGGCCTAAATGCAAAGCCTTATGTTTGGGGGCAAATCCAACACAACACATCACTGAGTGACTGCCTCCACTTTTTCAAGCATGGTGGTAATATAATAATAATAATATGCCATTTAGCAGACGCTTTTATCCAAAGCGACTTTTCAGTCATGCGTGCATACATTTTTGTGTATGGGTGGTCCCGGGGATCGAACCCACTACCTTGGCGTTACAAGCGCCGTGCTCTACCAGCTGAGCTATAGAGGACCACGGTGGTGGCTGCATCATGGTATGGGTATGCTTGACGTCGGCAAATACTGGGTAGTTTTTCAGGATAAAACAGATGGGAGTTAAAGCACAGGCAAAATCCTAGAGGAAAACCTGGTTCAGTCTGCTTTCCAGCAGACACTGGGGAGATGAATTCACCTGTCAGCAGGACAATAACTTAAAACACATGGTCAAATCTACACTGGAGTTGCTTACCAAGACAGTGAATGTTCCTGAGAGGCCGAGTTACAGTTTTGACTTAAATCTGCTTGAAGGTCTATGGTACGACTTGAAAACTGCTTGAAGCTTGAATAATTTTGAAAAGAATAATGGGCAAATATTGTACAATCCAGGTGTGCAAGGCTCTTAAGCCTGGCAGTTTGAAGTGACTCAAATCGTATTTTATTGCATTTGTTTTTTGCTTTTTCCTGCAGCCTGAACAGCCAAAAAGCACACGAATCAGATCTCTCAATCCACACACAGATCTGATTCCTGGCCAAGCGACTTGTGTCTGAATGGTTTTATTTGTAATCAAGTGATATTTACACTGTTATTTGGCATATCTTGTTGCTTGCTAGCTACTCTGTTGACAGAACATGTGGTAGCTAACTAGCTTGTTACTTGTTACAAACTAATTAGTGAATGTGCTAGAAAGCTACAGCGCTAGGATCTTAATTTGACCAATCTTTTGTTGCTGAGAATTTTCCAGCAAAATGCAAACTTGTCTTTGAAAAGACTTTTCCACTTTACATTGTCAGATTCGATTCGCCCTAAAGACAAATGTATCAAGGTAAAAAAAAAAAAATGCCATTCATTACAATCCACATAATAATTCACATTTCCTGTTGCCGCAGGATTATTTTGCCTGCTTTAGGAAACTGGCTCAAATTAAAGATCCTACATCTGTAAACAGCTACCTAGCTAGCTAAGTGACTGATGTGGCTAGCCAAAAAGGACTCGTTTTGAAAAGTTGGATCATCTTATCCTTTGAGGCTTTTTAAGTGTTCTTACAGTATGAATTTGAACATTCAAAGCAACTGGGAAATGTCCATTCAGGCATTGTTGTCACCTCAGCTTGCTATACATAACTTCTGAGTGACAGGAAGCACCACAACCAATCAGAATACACCACTGCTCACGCACCTGTCGTTACTATGACAACTATTGTAGCCATGTCAGCAAATGACTGCTGTCTGAACACACACACACACACACACACACACACACACACACACACACACATCTGATTTGGTCACCTGTAAATTGCTGTTTGGACAAGTCAGTATTCCAAAAGTGATTTGAGCATTAAAGGCCTGCAGTGTGAAAATGGCTTTAGAGACTTACCCAAGAAGACTCACAACTGTAAATTCGCCGCTAAAGGTTTTTCTAACATGTATTGACTCAGGTGGGGTGAATACTTATCTAATGAAGGTATATTAGGGTTTTATTTTTAATTGATAATATAAAAACAATATAATCATTTTTTCTTCCAGTTTGACAGAGTATTTAGTGTAAATCAATTACAAAAAAAAAAAAAAAAACACAATTAAATTAATTTCAATCCCACTTTTAACGCAACAAAATGTGAACAAATCCAAGGGGGGGGGAAATACTTCTGTATGTCCATACACATATATGTTCTATACATCCCATCCATCTCAAACAGTTGCTAAGGTAACAACATGTCCACACAGTACAGGAGTCCATGCAGTACCGGGTTATATTGCAGCTAAATTCATGTCGTTTATGTTTAGTTATATTTCAATGCAAAGCGCCAACAAACATGTGGAAAAGCTTGATAGGTGGTTTAACCAGCGCTCTGTTTTCCTAGAGTTATTATAAAACGTAGACAAAGTATGGAATAACAATCTGGGATTACGAGGAACAGGATTCTACTTTTAGCTCCTGTCCTGTCTGTGTGGCATGAGAGGAGACAGGCTGAGTTCTGAGTCGTATTCATTAGCGCACACCATAACGAAAGTTTCTTATTGGATAATAAGAACGCCTCGGTCCGTTTCCTTACGCTTGGTTTGTAATGAATACGACCATGGCCTGGAGGAGAGCGGCCTGTAGGGTCCAGACAGTCTGTAGCCTGTCCTCTAGATGGGTCCATAATCTGTAGTCAGTCTGTAGTCTGGGGCCTTGATGGGTCCATAATCTGTAGTCAGTCTGTAGTCTGGGGCCTTGATGGGTCCATAATCTGTGGTCAGTCTGTAGCCTGTCCTCTAGATGGGTCCATAATCTGTAGTCAGTCTGTAGCCTGTCCTCTAGATGGGTCCATAATCTGTAGTCAGTCTGTAGCCTGTCCTCTAGATGGGTCCATAATCTGTAGTCAGTCTGTAGCCTGTCCTCTAGATGGGTCCATAATCTGTAGTCAGTCTGTAGCCTGTCCTCTAGATGGGTCCATAATCTGTAGTCAGTCTGTAGCCTGTCCTCTAGATGGGTCCATAATCTGTAGTCAGTCTGTAGCCTGTCCTCTAGATGGGTCCATAATCTGTAGTCAGTCTGTAGCCTGTCCTCTAGATGGGTCCATAATCTGTAGTCAGTCTGTAGCCTGTCCTCTAGATGGGTCCATAATCTGTAGTCAGTCTGTAGCCTGTCCTCTAGATGGGTCCATAATCTGTAGTCAGTCTGTAGCCTGTCCTCTAGATGGGTCCATAATCTGTAGTCAGTCTGTAGTCTGTAGCCTTGATGGGTCCATAATCTGTAGTCAGTCTGTAGACTGGGGCCTTGATGGGTCCATAATCTGTAGTCAGTCTGTAGACTGGGGCCTTGATGGGTCCATAATCTGTAGTCAGTCTGTAGTCTGGGGCCTTGATGGGTCCATAATCTGTAGTCAGTCTGTAGAATGGGGCCTTGATGGATCCATAGCCCGTAGTCAGTCTGTAGTCTGTAGTCTGGGGCATTGATGGGTCCATAATCTGTAGTCAGTCTGTAGTCTGTAGCCTGTAGCCTTGATGGGTCCATAATCTGTAGTCAGTCTGTAGTCTGTAGACTGGGACCTTGATGGGTCCATAATCTGTAGTCAGTCTGTAGTCTGTAGACTGGGACCTTGATGGGTCCATAATCTGTAGTCAGTCTGTAGTCTGTAGACTGGGACCTTGATGGGTCCATAATCTGTAGTCAGTCTGTAGCCTGTAGCCTTGATAGGTCCATAATCCGTAGTCAGTCTGTAGACTGTAGTCTGGGGCCTTGATGGGTCCATAGCCTGGGCATCTCAGCCCAAGTCCTCCTCTCCCTAGCTACCACTCTCCCGTCAGTTTGGTGCTTTGGTCCCTTTTGGGCGGGGCAGGGCGCGGCCCCCGCCGTAACGTTGCATAGCCTGAGGACATGTACCCGTGGCCCCCGCCCTGCCCTCCCCTCTGCTGGTCTGGTGGGGGTGGAGGGGGGAGGGCCATGTCGTCCATGGAGACGGGCTCCAGCCGGGAGGAGCCGTGACGCGTGAGGGAGCCGTGACGAGAGATAGACTTCCTCTTCAAGGTCCGGTTCAGGTCCTCCAGGAAGTTGGGTTGGACCGAGGAGAGGGTACCGCCCCCCTTAGGCCCCCCGGGGGAGGTGGGGGGCAGGGGACAGCCGAAGGAGGACGGGAGGGTCTGCTGGTGCTGGAGGGACAGGGGTAAGGGGTCCTGGACCGTGTTGCTCCGGGACAGCCTGTGTAGTGTCAGAGGCGGAGTCTTCTTCAGCGACTGGGTCTTCCATGATGATTGGCTGACGGGGTGGGAGATGGGCGTGGCCTGCGGCTGGGGGTTTACCACTGCGACCCTGGGGGCCACCGGGTGGAGCTCAGAGGGGAGGGGGGGGCGGGGGGAGCAGCTCAGAGTCGGGAGGAGGAGGGGGGAAGTAATCGATCTCTGGAGGAGGTGAGGGGAAGTCTCCACTGGGCTGGCGGTGTTGAGGAGGTGAGGGGAAGTCTCCACTGGGCTGGCGGTGCTGCCCTGTCTGCAGACCCTGGAGGACTAGAGGGAGGGCTGACAGGTTCAGCTTGCCTGGTTTAGGAGGAGCAGGTAGAGCAGGAGACCCCAAGTCTTTAGCAGGAGATCCAGAGGAGGCGGCGGTGGAGGAGTTGCAGGAGCCGAGGCCAGGCTGGGCAAACTTACTGACCAGAGACTCCACCTTCTTAGGCTGCCTCTGGACCTGCACCTCCTCCTGGTACTCCCCTGAGGAGTTGGACTTGATGGAGGAGGCGCGCTGGGGGGTGGGAGGAGGCCCCCTCTTCCCGAAGGAGCCGGTTGACGAGGTGGAGGTGGTGGAGGGAGACTTCTTAATGGGGGAGCCCATCTTGGAAGGGGGGAGAGGAGGAGGAAGGGGGAACTCAGGGGACTGGGGGGGGATCTGACCCCCTGGCTGCCATCTTGGTTTGGCCTTGACCGCCGGGGGGGACTGTGGGGGCAGGGGGGCGCCGGGGAACTGGTTGACTATTTGTTTGGCCAGGGAGGGAGTGGGGGAGATGGGGGCGGACAGGGGGAGGGTCTTAGAGGAGAAGATGTGCTGTTTGGGCATCGTGGAAGGCGGCTGATTGGGCGAATGGCCTGTCGAGAAGCTTTGCTGCTTTTTCATTGGACCAGAAGGAGGGTAGGGTGAGACTGGGGACAGGGGGATCCCTGGACCAAAGGTCTTAGGAGCGGTCTGGGGCGGGAAGACACCAGAGAAGGTTTTGGGAGGTGTGGGGGGGGGCATTATGGGGGACAGGGGAGGAGGGGGAGGGGACTCAGGTTGGCCATCCAGCTCAGAGAAGTCGTAGTTCATATTGGGGAACTTTTGGGCCAGGAATTGCTGTAGCCCAGTGTTACTGAGAGGGGGGCACTGGTTGTCCTCCTCGGGGGGTGGAGGGGGGGGCAGGAGGCAGTTACTCTGTGGGTAGTGAGGGGGTGGCAGGGTGTGGGCCTGGGGGGGAGGAGGGGGGATGAACTGAGGAACAGGGCTGGGGAGGCCGAACCTCAGAGAGGCCATGGCAGAGCCTGGAGCAGGCATGGAGGAGGTGGGAGGAGGAGGGGGAGGAGGGTTGTAGTTGCTGGGAGCCAATGACATGGTGTTGTAGTTAGTGGGAGCCAATGGGAGCGTGTTGTAGTTGGGTTTGACAGACTGGAGTGGCGGGGCCGGAGGGCCTTGCTGCTGCCCCATTGGTTCGTCAATGTAATGATTGGCAGCCTGGTTGGCGCCACCCTGCAGGCGGGCGATGGTGCTGTACTTGACAAAGTGGGTTGGGGGCGGCCTGGTGAGGGGAGTGGGGAAGTGGGGGAGGGGGAGGATTGGGGGACGGTCGGGGGGAGAGTGGGAGGATTCGGGGGAGACACTGGTGTAGCTGGTGCGGGATGGGGGGACTGACTGGTGCATGGGGGGCAGCATCAGGGGGTAGGGCCCGGTTCCCCTAAATCCATCCCAATTTAAGAGAGAAAGAGAGAAAAGGGGGAAAGAGAGAGGGGAAGAAGACGAAAGCAAAGAGAGACAAAAAGGGGCGAAAAAAGAGGAGAGAGGAGAAGAGGAGAAGAGAGGAGAAAGAAGAAGAGAGAAAAAAGATGAAAGAAAGGGAGGGGAAAAAAGAAAAAGAGAGGAGAAAAGATAGAGAGAGAAGAGAAAAGGCAGGATCTAAATTTTAATTTATTATAATAAAGATTTGATTACATTACTACTATTCTATGCTAGAAAATCCAACATGATGTTATTTTAAACTCTTCCACACTGGGTAAAACACTGGAAGACATGTTAATTTGTCTTGTATAAAAACTGGAAGACATGTTAATTTGTCTCGTATTAAATAACTAAGACGTTAATTTGTCTCGTATTTAACACTGGAAGACATGTTAATTTGTCTCGTATTAAACAATGGAAGACGTTAATTTGTCTTGTATAAAAACTGGAAGACATGTTAATTTGTCTCGTATTAAATAACTAAGACGTTAATTTGTCTCGTATTTAACACTGGAAGACATGTTAATTTGTCTCGTATTAAACAATGGAAGACGTTAATTTGTCTCGTATTAAATAACTAAGACGTTAATTTGTCTCGTATTTAACACTGGAAGACATGTTAATTTGTCTCGTATTTAACAATGGAAGACATGTTAATTGGTCACTGCATTGAGGAATTCCATTCAGGAAAAAAACTAAACCAAACAAATGCACAAGAGTAGAACTGGGCTGAGTAGAACTGGGCTGAGTAGAACTGGGCTTCTGACAACACAAGGGGCTTTCCCACCTGCTCTCTGATCTAGAGACAATTCCTTGCATTTTTAGACTGTAAAACCATCAGTGCTCTCTGATGTGATATCCAGACAGGATACAGAAGCACACACAAGCCGAGGGAGTAGTGACAAACAATAGAACACAGTAGAACACCAGTTCTGCATAGTAACACAGTAGAACACCAGTGCTGCATAGTTAACACAGTAGAAACACCCAGTGCTGCATAGTAACACAGTAAATCACCAGTGCTGCATAGTAACACAGTAGAACACCAGTGCTGCATAGTAACACAGTAGAACACCAGTGCTGCATAGTAACACAGTAGAACACCAGTGCTGCATAGTAACACAGTAGAACACCAGTGTCTGCATAGTACCACAGTAGAAAACACCAGTGCTGCATAGTACCAGTAGAAACACCAGTGCTGCATAGTAACACAGTAGAACACACAGTGCTGCATAGTAACACAGGTAGAACACCAGTGCTGCATAGTAACAACAGTAACACCAGTGCTTGCATAGTACACAGTAAACACCAGTGCTGCATAGTAACAGTAAACCAGTGCTGATAGTACCCGTAGAACACAGTGCTGCATAGTAACACAGTAGAACACCAGTGCTGCATAGTAACACAGCAGAACACCAGTGCTGCATAGTAACACAGTAGAACACCAGTGCTGCATAGTAACACAGTAAATCACCAGTGCTGCATAGTAACACAGTACATCACCAGTGCTGCATAGTAACACAGTAGAACACCAGTGCTGCATAGTAACACAGTAGAAACACCAGTGCTGCATAGTAACACAGTAGAACACCAGTGCTGCATAGTAACACAGTAGAACACCCAGTGCTGCATAGTAACACAGTAGAACCCAGTGCTGCTAGTACACAGTAGAACACCAGTGCTGCATAGTACACAGTAAACACCAGTGCTGCATAGTAACACAGTAGACACCAGTGCTGCATAGTAACACAGTAGAACACCATTTGGGCTGCATATAACACAGTAGAACACCAGTGCTGCATAGTAACACAGTAGAACACCAGTGCTGCATAGTAACACAGTAGAACACCAGTGCTGCATAGTAACACAGTAGAACACCAGTGCTGCATAGTAACACAGTAGAACACCAGTGCTGCATAGTAACACAGTAGAACACCAGTGCTGCATAGTAACACAGTAGAACACCAGTGCTGCATAGTAACACAGTAGAACACCAGTGCTGCATAGTAACACAGTAAACACCAGTGCTGCATAGTAACACAGTAGAACACCAGTGCTGCTAGTAACACAGTAGAACACCAGTGCTGCATAGTAACACAGCAGAACACCAGTGCTGCATAGTACACAGTAGAACACCAGTGCTGCATAGTAACACAGTAAACACCAGTGCTGCATAGTAACACAGTAGAACACCAGTGCTGCATAGTAACACAGTAGAACACCAGTGCTGCATAGTAACACAGTAGAACACCAGTGCTGCATAGTAACACAGTAGAACACCAGTGCTGTGCGGTCAGACAAACAGACAGTTATGAGTCTCACAGCCCCATTGACCAAACATTATTAACCGTATATTAAACCAAACGTTAACCACAAGGTCCCAAGGGTGACCAGTGTTCTGTTAGTGTACTGAAGGCACATGAGGATTACAGAAGTCCAATGTTAAGACATGAGTCAAACCCCTAACCTCAAACCTCAGTACCTCCAGTGTACAGGGGTACTGTTTGAAACCTGACCTTCCTCTCCTGGGGAGAACAGTGGAGAGGAGAGAGATGGGAACAGACAGTCAACACAGACAACAGACACAGTCAGTCACCCCTGGAATGGACCACGAAATGACTGTCACAAGAAAATGACAGTCCATGTCGGACACTGTGTCTGACTGCAACACTGATGCCCCGTTCACAATATAGGGTCGACACAATCAGTCCTGTGCTGGCTACATTTTCCTTCCCTGTACGGTTACAGCAACTATGGTGGATGTCTAACCAGGCCAACACAATACAACTTGGCTTGGCTCAATTTTACCTTGTAGTGTGAATCAAGCATGACAGAATGTCAGTTACACTCCTGGGGTAAAACTGAGGCAGGTCAACACAGAGACAAGTGGTAGGGTAAGGTGAGGAATTCTGAGGCAGGTCAATAGAGACAGGTGATAGGGTAAGGTGAGGAATACTGAGGCAGGTCAACAGAGAGACAGGTGATAGGGTAAGGTGAGGAATTCTGAGGCAGGTCAATAGAGACAGGTGATAGGGTAAGGTGAGGAATACTGAGGCAGGTCAATAGAGACGGGTGAGGAATACTGAGGCAGGTCAACAGAGAGACAGGTGATAGGGTAAGGTGAGGAATACTGAGGCAGGTCAATAGAGACAGGTGATAGGGTAAGGTGAGGAATACTGAGGCAGGTCAATAGAGACAGGTGAGGAATACTGAGGCAGGTCAACAGAGAGACAGGTGATAGGTTAAGGTGAGGAATACTGAGGCAGGTCAACAGAGAGACAGGTGATAGGTTAAGGTGAGGAATACTGAGGCAGGTCAACAGAGAGACAGGTGATAGGTTAAGGTGAGGAATACTGAGGCAGGTCAATAGAGACAGGTGATAGGTTAAGGTGAGGGTGTGAGTACAGGAGGAGGTGGTACCTCATCCTGGGTGCCTCTCTTCCAGGCCTCGGAGAAGATGGAGCCGACCTGGCTCTGAGAGGTGTGGCCTGACAGGTTGCTCTCTGACACAGCAACACCACTATCAGTACTGGAGTGGTTCGACTGGGATTCTGGAGAGAGGGGAGGGGGAGAGATGGGAGAGGAGAGGAGAAGAGAGAGAGAGAGAGAGAGCCGAGAGCAGAGGGGGGGTGGGGAGAGAGAGAGGGTAGGAGCGAGAGCGTAGAGCGAGAGGTGTTCGGAGCGCAGAGCCGAGCGAGATTGATGCTTGATCGCGACGCTAGCTATCAGCGATGCTATTCTATCTCGCTCTCGGTCGCGACAAGTAGCTGGAGTTTCTCTTCCTGCTGCCCGTCGGTCTCGCTCATGAGGGCTGTTTATGCCTGGGATGTCAGGAGAGCTGTTGACAGTACAATCTTTACAATTACTGCTTTAAGTGTACTTCTTTTGGTTCTTATCAATTTTTGCAGTATTCAGGAAGAAAATGCAATTCCTGGAAATGTACCCTGAAATGACGATTTAAATAATAAAATAGATGTCAGCCCTGCTATATCGTAGCTGAGTGCAGGTGTGCTGTGTTGTAGATGTGTTGTGTGTCCACCACCACTCACCAGGCAGGCTGGAGGAGCTGGATCCAGACTTGATAGAGGAGCTAGAGAGAGAGGACCAGTCGTGGGCTGCCTCAGTCCTCTTCATAGCCTCCTGGTAGTTCACATACAGGGTCTTCCCATACTGGGGAGACAGAGAGAGATACATCGGTCAACAGACATCAGGGGTGTATTTACAGGGTCTTCCCATACTGGGGACACAGAGAGAGATACATCGGTCAACAGACATCAGGGGTGTATTTACAGGGTCTTCCCATACTGGGGACACAGAGAGAGATACATCGGTCAACAGACATCAGGGGTGTATTTACAGGGTCTTCCCATACTGGGGACACAGAGAGAGATACATCGGTCAACAGACATCAGGGGTGTATTCATTAGTCGTTCAGAAACAGATGTTCAGGAGTGTATCTTAGTCCATGCCGCTCTGTCATTGCTTGTCCATATATGTATATATTCTTAAATTCCATTCCTTACTAGTTTTGTGTGTATTGGGTATATGTTGTGAAATTGTTAGATATTACTTGTTAGATATTACTGCACTGTCGGAGCTAGAAGCACAAGCATTTCGCTACACCCGCTATAACATCTGCTAAACACGTGCATGTGACAAATAACATTTGATTTGATTTGATTGATTTATTAGTCGGTCAACAACAGACATTAGGGGTGTATTCATTAGTCGGTTTCCTCAGCAAAGCGGTTTGCAACGGAAACGGTTTACTCCCAGCGTAAAACGTTTTGCAACGAAAACGAGAGTTTTTATTGAACAAATTCAGGTAGGTCCCTCCCCATTTCGTACCGCTTGCTTCTGTTTGGTTCCTAGTGAATACACCCACATCTTTCCATCAGGACCAAATACTTTGAGTTTGGCCGTTGAGGTATTCTGTCAAAGACGTTATATGAGCACCCAGACTACGGCTCTGCTTTCTCATTACGTTGTTGCTGAGGCAACATAACGTTACCTTGGCGATGCGTATCCCGTTGATCCACTGGTGTAGTGTTCTGACATCATCACAACACAGGTACTTGATGTACTGGGATTTCTTCTGGATCTGAGGGTGCTGAACAAACAGAGAGACAATGGGACATGTTAACGACGACGCGTCACATGAATAGCGTGCTTGGATTTCTCTAATTTGTGTCTTTAATTGGGCTATAATCTCTCGTGGACTGATTCTGCAAGGTTTTAGTTCTGGGTTAAGCAAGATGAATTGGGCTAAAACCCCAGAGATGTGAGTTGAGGCTATGCAGAGATGGTTTCTCAGTAAGTTTATCCACTGTGCCACTAGATGGCAGTGTGACGCTGTACAAGGCTGTACTTCTCTCCTCTGACAGGAAGACTTGAGGGCAGCGATACAACATCGTCAATCCCTCTGCTGTACCCAGTTCCTCCCATCAGGAAACATTACCATCACACCAGAAAAGAAAACCTTCTCGGTTTACTAGGTTACTTTCCTGAGGAAACGGAAGGGAAATATTTGGTTCATAATTGACATGGCTTTGGAGCCTCTATTATTTAAAAGAGTACTGACAAGAGAAAGGACGGCGCTTCACGGCATTATGATTAGGTTCCCTCCTCTCCGCTTCACGGCATTATGATTAGGTTCCCTTCTCTCCACTTCACGGCATTATGATTAGGTTCCCTTCTCTCCGCTTCACGGCATTATGATTAGGTTCCCTTCTCTCCGCTTCACGGCATTATGATTAGGTTCCCTTCTCTCCGCTTCACGGCATTATGATTAGGTTCCCTTCTCTCCGCTTCACGGCATTATGATTAGGTTCCCTTCTCTCCGCTTCACGGCATTATGATTAGGTTCTCTTCTCTCCATTCCCCCAAAACAACTCAGCAAACGCCCTCGTCCCCCTTGTCCATAATGTAATCCTATTCTTTATGATTTAAAAGGCAAAACTGATCAGCACTCGTACTCTGAGACACTTTGTGGGCCCAGCCAGGTGTTACTACCGGCTGAGTCTTTGGCCTCACCTCAAAGAACTTTGCTAACGTAACATGAAGAGATTCAGATGATACAATATTCAAAACATCGTAAGACTTCCTGGGCATCGTTACAGCTAGAGTCAGACAGTCGCACTCTGTGCAGAAACAGGGATAGGGGTAGGGAGTGTGCAGAGGGTATGCAGGGATAGGGGTAGGGAGTGTGCAGAGGGTATGCAGGGATAGGGGTAGGGAGTGTGCAGAGAGTATGCAGGGATAGGGTAGGGAGTGTGCAGAGGGTATGCAGGGATAGGGGAAGGGAGTGTGCAGAGGGTATGCAGGATAGGGGTAGGGAGTGTGCAGAGGGTATGCAGGGATAGGGGAAGGGAGTGTGCAGAGGGTATGCAGGGATAGGGGTAGGGAGTGTGCAGAGAGTATGCAGGGATAGGGGTAGGGAGAGTGCAGAGAGTATGCAGGGATAGGGGTAGGGAGTGTGCAGAGGGTATGCAGGGATAGGGGTAGGGAGTGTGCAGAGGGTATGCAGGGATAGGGGAAGGGAGTGTGCAGAGGGTATGCAGGGATAGGGGTAGGGAGTGTGCAGAGAGTATGCAGGGATAGGGAGTGTGCAGAGAGTATGCAGGGATAGGGGTAGGGAGTGTGCAGAGGGTATGCAGGGATAGGGGTAGGGAGTGTGCAGAGGGTATGCAGGGATAGGGGTAGGGAGTGTGCAGAGAGTATGCAATCTGTGGGGGCAGGGCTAGGTGGGAGTAGCAGTCTGTGGGGGCAGGGCTAGGTGGGAGTAGCAGTCTGTGGGGGCAGGGCTAGGTGGGAGTAGCAGTCTGTGGGGGCAGGGCTAGGTGGGAGTAGCAGTCTGTGGGGGCAGGGCTAGGTGGGAGTAGCAGTCTGTGGGGGCAGGGCTAGGTGGGAGTAGCAGTCTGTGGGGGCAGGGCTAGGTGGGAGTAGCAGTCTGTGGGGGCAGGGCTAGGTGGGAGTAGCAGTCTGTGGGGGCAGGGCTAGGTGGGAGTAGCAGTCTGTGGATGTATTATTATGTTATTGATCGATTGACTATGACTTTTTAAAATCACCCAGTAGTGCTATTTGCAGAGTTAGCTCCAGGTAAATGTTGCAATTATTCAGCAATTCCTGAACCTGCAACCAAAAACAAGTTTGGGATACATCCTGGGTGTTTGCTCTCACCTTCAGTGCCAGGCAGTAGTCTGTGGTGGTGTTGTGGTACTAGTGATAGCAGGGTGTGTAGGTCAGGTGTGGTACTAGTGATAGCAGGGTGTGTAGGTCAGGTGTGGTACTAGTGATAGCAGGGTGTGTAGGTCAGGTGTGGTACTAGTAAGAGCAGGGTGTGTAGGTCAGGTGTGGTACTAGTGATAGCAGGGTGTGTAGGTCAGGTGTGGTACTAGTGATAGCAGGGTGTGTAGGTCAGGTGTGGTACTAGTGATAGCAGGGTGTGTAGGTCAGGTGTGGTACCTTCAGGGCCAGGCAGTAGTCTGTGGTGGTGTTATGGTACTAGTGATAGCAGGGTGTGGTACCTTCAGGGCCAGGCAGTAGTCCGTTGGAGCCTTGTACTTGCTGCGGTAGTCCTGTCCATAGTAAACATTAACATGATCCAGCTGGAGGAAACACACCAGTTCTCTAGAAGCCTGCCAGCGGGAGAGGAGAGAGAAGAAATCATGGCCTTCACCTCACTGCACTGGCCTTCACCTCACTGCACTGGCCTTCACCTCACTGCACTGGCCTTCACCTCACTGCACTGGCCTTCACCTCACTGCACTGGCCTTCACCTCACTGCACTGGCCTTCACCTCACTGCACTGGCCTTCACCTCACTGCACTGGCCTTCACCTCACTGCACTGGCCTTCACCTCACTGCACTGGCCTTCACCTCACTGCCCTGGCCTTCACCTCACTGCACTGGCCTTCACCTCACTGCACTGGCCTTCACCTCACTGCACTGGCCTTCACCTCACTGCACTGGCCTTCACCTCACTGCACTGGCCTTCACCTCACTGCACAGGCCTTCACCTCACTGCACTGGCCTTCACCTCACTGCACTGGCCTTCACCTCACTGCACTGGCCTTCACCTCACTGCACTGGCCTTCACCTCACTGCACTGGCCTTCACCTCACTGCACTGGCCTTCACCTCACTGCACTGGCCTTCACCTCACTGCACTGGCCTTCACCTCACTGCACAGGCCTTCACCTCACTGCACTGGCCTTCACCTCACTGCACTGGCCTTCACCTCACTGCACTGGCCTTCACCTCACTGCACTGGCCTTCACCTCACTGCACTGGCCTTCACCTCACTGCACTGGCCTTCACCTCACTGCACTGGCCTTCACCTCACTGCACTGGCCTTCACCTCACTGCACTGGCCTTCACCTCACTGCACTGGCCTTCACCTCACTGCACTGGCCTTCACCTCACTGCACTGGCCTTCACCTCACTGCACTGGCCTTCACCTCACTGCACTGGCCTTCACCTCACTGCACAGTCCACTGAGTGGCGCTCTACAGAAGATTGAGTGAGAGGGACATTTACATTGACCAGCTTCCATCTTCAGACTGTTAAAGAGTCACCACTAGCCGGCCTCCACCCAGTACTCAACCCTTCCATCCTCCCTGAACTAGCCGGCCTCCACCCAGTACTCAACCCTTCCATCCTCCCTGAACTAGCCGGCCTCCACCCAGTACTCACCCCTTCCATCCTCCCTGAACTAGCCGGCCTCCACCCAGTACTCTACCCTTCCATCCTCCCTGAACTAGCCGGCCTCCACCCAGTACTCAACCCTTCCATCCTCCCTGAACTAGCCGGCCTCCACCCAGTACTCAACCCTTCCATCCTCCCTGAACTAGCCGGCCTCCACCCAGTACTCAACCCTTCCATCCTCCCTGAACTAGCCAGCCTCCACCCAGTACTCAACCCTTCCATCCTCCCTGAACTAGCCAGCCTCCACCCAGTACTCAACCCTTCCATCCTCCCTGAACTAGCCGGCCTCCACCCAGTACTCAACCCTTCCATCCTCCCTGAACTAGCCGGCCTCCACCCAGTACTCAACCCTTCCATCCTCCCTGAACTAGCCGGCCTCCACCCAGTCCTCTACCCTTCCATCCTCCCTGAACTAGCCAGCTACCACCCAGTACTCTACCCTTCCATCCTCCCTGAACTAGCCGGCCTCCACCCAGTACTCTACCCTTCCATCCTCCCTGAACTAGCCGGCCTCCACCCAGTACTCTACCCTTCCATCCTCCCTGAACTAGCCGGCCTCCACCCAGTCCTCAACCCTTCCATCCTCCCTGAACTAGCCGGCCTCCACCCAGTCCTCAACCCTTCCATCCTCCCTGAACTAGCCGGCCTCCACCCAGTACTCTACCCTTCCATCCTCCCTGAACTAGCCAGCTACCACCCAGTCCTCAACCCTTCCATCCTCCCTGAACTAGCCAGCTACCACCCAGTACTCAATCCTTCCATCCTCCCTGAACTAGCCAGCTACCACCCAGTACTCTACCCTTCCATCCTCCCTGAACTAGCCAGCTACCACCCAGTACTCTACCCTTCCATCCTCCCTGAACTAGCCAGCTACCACCCAGTACTCTACCCTTCCATCCTCCCTGAACTAGCCGGCCTCCACCCAGTACTCTACCCTTCCATCCTCCCTGAACTAGCCGGCCTCCACCCAGTACTCTACCCTTCCATCCTCCCTGAACTAGCCGGCCTCCACCCAGTCCTCAACCCTTCCATCCTCCCTGAACTAGCCGGCCTCCACCCAGTCCTCAACCCTTCCATCCTCCCTGAACTAGCCAGCTACCACCCAGTCCTCAACCCTTCCATCCTCCCTGAACTAGCCAGCTACCACCCAGTACTCAATCCTTCCATCCTCCCTGAACTAGCCAGCTACCACCCAGTACTCTACCCTTCCATCCTCCCTGAACTAGCCAGCTACCACCCAGTACTCTACCCTTCCATCCTCCCTGAACTAGCCAGCTACCACCCAGTACTCTACCCTTCCATCCTCCCTGAACTAGCCGGCCTCCACCCAGTACTCTACCCTTCCATCCTCCCTGAACTAGCCGGCCTCCACCCAGTCCTCAACCCTTCCATCCTCCCTGAACTAGCCGGCCTCCACCCAGTACTCTACCCTTCCATCCTCCCTGAACTAGCCGGCCTCCACCCAGTACTCAACCCTGCACCATACAGACTGCTTCCCTATGTACACATAGTCATTGAACACTGGTCACTTTAATAATGTTTACATACTGTATTCCCTCCCTCCTTCCTTCCCTCTCTCTCTCTCCCTCTCTCTCTCTCTATCTCTCTCCACGACTGTAGTATTCTGATAATACTCAATTGCACTTTTCTTAACCAGATGATCATTTGCAGTCAGCTCCCCTTGAGGACAATTTTATACTTATTTGTTATTTGTAAGTGTGTTGCGATTTCTAAATGCACTTTAAATAATGCTTGATTTGGTTAGCCAGTATTGGGAACTACCAATCCAAAGAATAAGTATCTATGACATGATGTTATTTCTGGATCTACAATGACAATTGCAGTTCCCCATGTTACTGAATGGGTAAGAGGGGCCTGAAAAATATCATTTCATGAATCACTAGTGTGTCTTGCAGCAATAGTGTTTGCAGACTACTTCATTGCTGATCGGGGTTTTTTTTGGCCCAGAAGCACCACAGATGTCAGACTATACACACTATTTCATAATAATAATAATAAATAAATAAATAAATAAATAAATAAATAAATAAATAAATAAATACTCACTATTTGAGTACAGGTTACTCAGTGTGTTCCAGAGACGTACCTTGGCCTTTCCTTTAGGTACATAGTAGATCCCCGAGGCTCTGAGCAGGAAGTATCTCTTCTTCCAGCTCTTCTTCCCATCCTCCTTCAGCCAGAGTACACCCTCCATCTCAGGCACAGACACAGAGCTGCCACAAAAACACTCCTGCCGAGGAGAGCGCACAGACATATACGGATGCACGTGCACACTCACACACACACACACACACACACACACACACACCATCTATATAGTATGCACTAACACAAGGTGACATGTTGAAATGACCTGAATAAGTCAAGTTGTGTGCATCAGTTTGTTTGGAGGTGTGTTATGTTGAGATCACTGTACCTCCAGTAGTGCCTCTTTGTTCCTGTCTGCCATCTCACACGTCTCCTTCCGCCCCAACAAATAGTTCTGTGATTTTTCCAGAAACGTGGTTAATCAGGGTATGATAGTCAAAATTCAGAGTACATCATTTCAGTAAGTGTTAAAAAAAAAAATAGGGGAAAAAAATACAATCCATCAAATGTTCGTTTACCAGTCAGTTAAAGTGGGAATAGCTATATTACCAAGGGAGACAGCAGTGCTCACCAGTTCCCAGTCAGTTAAAGTGGGAATAGCTATATACCAGGGAGACAGCAGTGCTCACCATCTCCCAGTCAGTTAAAGTGGGAATAGCTATATTACCAAGGGAGACAGCAAGTGCTCACCAGTTCCCAGTCAGTTAAAGTGGGAATAGCTATATTACCAAGGGAGACAGCAGTTGCTCACCAGCTCCCAGTCAGTTAAAGTGGGAAATAGCTATATTACCAAGGGAGACAGCAGTGCTCACCAGCTCCCAGTCAGTTAAAGTGGGAATAGCTATATTACCAAGGGAGACAGCAGTGCTCACCAGCTCCCAGTCAGTTAAAGTGGGAATAGCTATATTACCAAGGGAGACAGCAGTGCTCACCAGCTCCCAGTCAGTTAAAGTGGGAATAGCTATATACCAAGGAGACAGCAGTGCTCACCAGCTCCCAGTCAGTTAAAGTGGGAATAGCTATATTACCAAGGGAGACAGCAGTGCTCACCAGCTCCCAGTCAGTTTAAAGTGGGAATAGCTATATTACCAAGGGAGACAGCAGTGCTCACCAGCTCCCAGTCAGTTAAAGTGGGAATAGCTATATTACCAAGGGAGACAGCAGTGCTCACCAGCTCCCAGTCAGTTAAAGTGGGAATAGCTATATTACCAAGGGAGACAGCAGTGCTCACCATCTCCCAGTCAGTTAAGTGGGAATAGCTATATTACCAAGGGAGACAGCAGTGCTCACCATCTCCCAGTCAGTTAAAGTGGGAATAGCTATATTACCAAGGGAGACAGCAGTGCTCACCATCTCCCAGTCAGTTTAAAGTGGGAATAGCTATATTACCAAGGGAGACAAGCAGTGCTCACCATCTCCCAGTCAGTTAAAGTGGGAATAGCTATATTACCAAGGGAGACAGCAGTGCTCACCATCTCCCAGTCAGTTAAAGTGGGAATAGCTATATTACCAAGGGAGACAGCAGTGCTCACCAGCTCCCAGTCAGTTAAAGTGGGAATAGCTATATTACCAAGGGAGACAGCAGTGCTCACCAGCTCCCAGTCAGTTAAAGTGGGAATAGCTATATTACCCAAGGGAGACAGCAGTGCTCACCAGCTCCCAGTCAGTTAAAGTGGGAATAGCTATATTACCAAGGGAGACAGCAGTGCTCACCAGCTCCCAGTCAGTTAAAGTGGGAATAGCTATATTACCAAGGGAGACAGCAGTGCTCACCAGCTCCCAGTCAGTTTAAAGTGGGAATAGCTATATTACCAAGGGAGACAGCAGTGCTCACCAGCTCCCAGTCAGTTAAAGTGGGAATAGCTATATTACCAAGGGAGACAGCAGTGCTCACCAGCTCCCAGTCAGTTAAAGTGGGGAATAGCTATATTACCAAGGAGACAGCAGTGCTCACCAGCTCCCAGTCAGTTAAAGTGGGAATAGCTATATTACCAAGGAGACAGCAGTGCTCACCAGCTCCCAGTCAGTTAAAGTGGGAATAGCTATATTACCAAGGGAGACAGCAGTGCTCACCAGCTCCAGTCAGTTAAAGTGGGAATAGCTATATTACCAAGGAGACAGCAGTGCTCACCAGCTCCCAGTCAGTTTAAAGTGGGAATAGCTATATTACCAAGGGAGACAGCAGTGCTCACCAGCTCCCAGTCAGTTAAAGTGGGAATAGCTATATTACCAAGGGAGACAGCAGTGCTCACCAGCTCCCAGTCAGTTAAAGTGGGAATAGCTATATTACCAAGGGAGACAGCAGTGCTCACCAGCTCCCAGTCAGTTAAAGTGGGAATAGCTATATTACCAAGGGAGACAGCAGTGCTCACCATCTCCCAGTCAGTTAAAGTGTGGAATAGCTATATTACCAAGGGAGACAGCAGTGCTCACCATCTCCCAGTCAGTTAAAGTGGGAATAGCTATATTACCAAGGGAGACAGCAGTGCTCACCAGCTCCTAGTCTGATTCCTAATCTATTGTTCATAGCACCATCATCTACAACATACTGACCTGGATCTGAAGGACACACTGGGGTCTGTGTGTTTGTGTCTGTTGAGTGAGTTTGTGTGCAAATAAACACTGTCTGATACTACTGGGTGTATCTATTTTGGTGAAGCATTGTATTTTGGTGCCAGTTCAGTGTATTTTGGTGAAGCATTGTATTTTGGTGCCAGTTCAGTGTATTTTGGTGAAGCATTGTATTTTGGTGCCAGTTCAGTGTATTTTGGTGAAGCATTGTATTTTGGTGCCAGTTCAGTGTATTTTGGTGAAGCATTGTATTATGGTGGCAGTTCAGTGTATTTTGGTGAAGCATTGTATTTTGGTGCCAGTTCAGTGTATTTTGGTGAAGCATTGTATTTTGGTGCCAGTTCAGTGTATTTTGGTGAAGCATTGTATTTTGGTGCCAGTTCAGTGTATTTTGGTGAAGCATTGTATTTTGGTGCCAGTTCAGTGTATTTTGGTGAAGCATTGTATTATGGTGGCAGTTCAGTGTATTTTGGTGAAGCATTGTATTTTGGTGCCAGTTCAGTGTATTTTGGTGAATTCAATTCAATTCAATTTTATTTTATATAGCCCTTCGTACATCAGCTAATATCTCGAAGTGCTGTACAGAAACCCAGCCTAAAACCCCAAACAGCTAGTAATGCAGGTGTAGAAGCACGGTGGCTAGGAAAAACTCCCTAGAAAGGCCAAAACCTAGGAAGAAACCTAGAGAGGAACCAGGCTATGAGGGGTGGCCAGTCCTCTTCTGGCTGTGCCGGGTGGAGGTTATAACAGAACCAAGATTGTTCAAGATTGCCAAGATGTTCAAAAATGTTCATAAGTGACAAGCATGGTCAAATAATAATCAGGAATAAATCTCAGTTGGCTTTTCATAGCCGATCATTAAGAGTTGAAAACAGCAGGTCTGGGACAGGTAGGGGTTCCATAACCGCAGGCAGAACAGTTGAAACTGGAATAGCAGCAAGGCCAGGCGGACTGGGGACAGCAAGGAGTCACCACGGCCGGTAGTTCCGACGTATGGTCCTAGGGCTCAGGTCTCTCAGTTGGCTTTTCATAGCCGATCATTAAGAGTTGAAAACAGCAGGTCTGGGACAGGTAGGGGTTTCGTAACCGCAGGCAGAACAGTTGAAACTGGAATAGCAGCAAGGCCAGGCGGACTGGGGACAGCAAGGTGTCAGCATGCCCGGTAGTCCTGACGTATGGTCCTAGGGCTCAGGTTCTCAGAGAGAAAGAGAGAACGAGAGAATTAGAGAGAGCATACTTAAATTCACACAGGACACTGGATAAGACAGGAGAAGTACTCCAGGTATAACCAACTAACCCCAGCCCCCCGACACATAAACTACTGCAGCATAAATACTGGAGGCTGAGACAGGAGCGGTCCGGAGACACTGTGGCCCCATCCGAAGAAACCCCCGGACAGGGCCAAACAGGAAGGATATAACCCCACCCACTCTGCCAAAGAACAGCCCCCGCACCACTAGAGGGATATCCTCAACCACCAACTTACAATCCTGAGACAAGGCCGAGTATAGCCCACAGAGGTCTCCACCACAGCACAAACCAAGGGGGGGCGCCAACCCAGACAGGAAGATCACGTCAGTAACTCAACCCACTCAAGTGACGCACCCCTCCTAGGGACGGCATGAAAGAGCACCAGCAAGCCAGTGACTCAGCCCCTGTAACAGGGTTAGAGGCAGAGAACCCCAGTGGAGAGAGGGGAACCGGCCTGGCAGAGACAGCAAGGGCTGTTCGTTGCTCCAGAGCCTTTCCGTTCACCTTCACACTCCTGGGCCAGACTACACTCAATCATATGACCTACTGAAGAGATAAGTCTTCAGTAATGACTTAAAGGTTGAGACCGAGTCTGCGTCTCTCACATGGGTAGGCAGACTGTTCCATAAAAATGGAGATCTATAGGAGAAAGCCCTGCCTCCCGCTGTTTGCTTAGAAATTCTAGGGACAATTAGGAGGCCTGCGTCTTGTGACCGTAGCGTACGTATTGGTATGTACGGCAGGACCAACTCGGAAAGATAGGTAGGAGCAAGCCCATGTAACGCTTTATAGGTTAACAGTAAAACCTTGAAATCAGCCCTTGCCTTAACAGGAAGCCAGTGTAGGGAAGCTAGCACTGGAGTAATATGATCAAATTTCTTGGTTCTAGTCAGGATTCTAGCAGCCGTATTTAGCACTAACTGAAGTTTATTTAGTGCTTTATCCGGGTAGCCGGAAAGTAGAGCATTGCAGTAGTCTAACCTAGAAGTAACAAATGCATGGATTAATTTTTCTGCATCATTTTTGGACAGAAAATTTCTGATTTTTGCAATGTTACGTAGATGGAAAAAAGCTGTCCTTGAAACAGTCTTGATATGTTCGTCAAAAGAGAGATCAGGGTCAAGAGTAACGCCGAGGTCCTTCACAGTTTATTTGAGACGACTTTACAAACCATCAAGATGAATTGTCAGATTTAACAGAAGATCTCTTTGTTTCTTGGGACCTAGAACAAGCATCTCTGTTTTGTCCGAGTTTAAAAGTAGAAAGTTTTCAGCCATCCACTTCCTTATGTCTGAAACACAGGCTTCTAGCGAGGGCAATTTTGGGGCTTCACCATGTTTCATTGAAATGTACAGCTGTGTGTCATCCGCATAGCAGTGAAAGTTAACATTATGTTTTCGAATAACATCCCCAAGAGGTAAAATATATAGTGAAAACAATAGTGGTCCTAAAACGGAACCTTGAGGAACACCGAAATGTACAGTTGATTTGTCGGAGGACAGACCATTCACAGAGACAAACTGATATCTTTCCGACAGG